CATTCTCAACACTTAATCACAAATGACATTTAATTAAATATGACATTTCGAAGTAGAATTTAATAACTGAATATTAAAATTTATGTAGACATAATACAAAATACATAAGACATTAATTTACAAAAATGTTAATGGTCCCGGAATAGGTCGTATGTTCAAAATGCAATTACCTTTCCAGAATTTAAAACTTATAACGTCGCTCTAATAGCAAGATTATATAAAACAAAATTCTTGATAACGTTAGACTTACCAGAAGCCTTCTTAAAAATAAATCTACTTCTCAAGTTTCAATGCAAATATAAATGTGAAAAACTAAACAAAAAATTATTGATTTTACTGTTACATGCGAAAACAATTTACATAGTTTTAATCCAAGCATCAGCTCTCAACGCGTAATTATAATGTAAATATGATCTTTTAAAGTAAAAATTAATGACTGCAAATTAAAATTTATAATGAAATACAAAAAAGCGATAATTTAAAAAAACTGTCGATCCCGAAACATGCCGTATGATCAAAAATACAAATAATTTTTCTGAATTTAAAACGTCCCTCTCATGGCGATATTACATGACAAAAAATCCTCGATAACTTTAAAATTACCAGAAGCAAATAATGTGTGTGAACACTCAAACCAAAACTAATGCATTTTATATCCGATGATTTAATTCGTTTTAATTTAAAAATCCATTCTCAACACTTAATTATAATGTGAATATGATATTTCAAAGTAGAATTTAATAATTGAAATTAACATTTATATAGAAATAATACAAAGAGACATTACTTTACAAAAATTGTAGCGGTCTCGGAATATGCCATGTGTTCAAAAATGCAAATATTTTTCCAGAATTTAAAACTTATTAAGTCGCTCTAATATCAGTATTATATAAAACAAAATTCTCGATGACTTTTTTTAGACTTACCAGAAGCCTTCTTAAAAATAAATCTACTTCAAGTTTCAGTGCAAATGTGGGTGTAAAAACCTAAACCAAAATTATTAACTTTACTCTTATGTAAGAAGATCGATTCAATTCGCATGGTGTTAATATAAAAATCAATAACATGTTAACAGTTAATTATATGTAAATATGGTCTTTTGAAGTAGAATGTAATAACGGAAAGTTAAAATTTATACCGAAATAATACAAAGAAACATTACATTTAAAAAATTTTATCCGTCCCGGAACATGCCGTACGTTCAATAATGCAAATAATTTTTCTATAACCTAAAAACATAATACTCACTCTAATAGCAGAATTATTTGAAGCAAAATCCCCGATACCAGTAGCCTTCTTAAAATAAAATAAAACTACTTCAAGTTTCAATGCAAATGTGTATTTGAAAACCTAAACTAAAATTTATTGACGTTATTATATATCCGAATTTAAGATTCAAATCATATGATTTTACTTCAAAAGTTAGCTCTCAACATATAATTATATGTAAACAAGTTTTTTTGAAGTAGAATTTAATAATTAAAAATTAAAATTTTTATTTGACAGAACGAGATATGCGATATCTAAATCACACAGGAAAAAATATAATACTGCACATCGTGTATTTGCACGAGACAAACTTTTATATCAATATGGCGAGAGATAACTAATTATAAATCAATATAGATGATCGATCGAGACGATCAAAAACGTTATAAACGGCGACACCACATTTTGTCTTAATTGGCTAGCTTAGCAATTGTTATAGCAGATGTGGATCGCTAATGCTCTAACAATTTCGCAAGAACATATAATTCAAAACTTAAAAGTGAAACTTAAATTTCAATTTTATAATTTCTTATTTTATTAAATATATTATGTAATAAATGTATTTTGCTTTACTTATAAGAAAAGAAAACTTATTGTTAACTTTTATTGCTAATAAGTAATATTAGCATATATATAATAAGAAATAAACTTGGACATTTCATAACAAATTAATGCAGTAATTGAAACTTACAATAGAGAAACTAAAAAATAAAAAACATTCTGCCTTCAAAAATAAAAATACATATCTTAATTTTAGTAATTAAAATTTATAATCAAAAAGTTAATAGACTCAAAAATTAAAAACATATTATTTTAAAAAATAAAAATGCATATCTAAAATGGCATAATTGAAATTTGTAAAATCAAAATCTTAATAAACTCAAAAATCAAAAATAGGATGCCATAAAATATAACAATACATCTTAAAAATTAAATGTAGATACATTTACTCAAAAGTCTTATTTTTTTTTAATTGGTTGTGTAACCATGTTTTTATGACATCAGTTTTTCTATCTCTTAGAACATTATATTTCATTTTAACTTTTTCTATCTCCGATAAAGGTGGTAATATTCCTTTACGTGTATAATGTGAAAAATATGTTTTTGCATTTTTTATCTCTTCATTTGTCCATCGTTTTTTTTTCTTATATGTTTCACGACCTGTAATACAAATAATTCATGATAAAAAATAATTGAAAGAGATCTTGATGTAACATCTAATTATTATATAGTTACATGATTGATTTTTGCGCTTCCTTTTTCTGTTTTCGCTGTTTATACTTTCATTAGAACTGTTTGAGCTCATATTCATTACATAATCTGATATGTCACTATCTGAATCTTTTCCTATTAAAAAAAACTATAATATAAACATGAAATCCAAATGTAAAGAGAATAAGAAAAAGAGATCAAATTATATTTTAAAATATACATTTTGTTTAACCTAATTGTTTTTATTTAGATATAAATATGTAATAAAAAAACTTTTGATTATTAATTCACACATTGATACAAATAATTTTGATATATACTATATATATATATATATATATATATATACTTACGATAAATTAGACCTTTGTTTTTAGAATAAATATTTCGTTTCTTTCGTAGATTTGAAACTTGTTTGCTCTCTCTGTCTCTTTCTAGATTAAATTTAAATGTTATTTAATTTTAATTTTATTGTTATTAAAATCTTTTTAAGGGGATACATCTTATATAGATCAAAATAATAAATAAAAGGAAAATTATTTAATAAAAGAAAATAATATAAAAACAATATACCTTTATCTTTATTCTTCTTCTGTTCGGTTTGTATTTTTTTTATCACGTTATTTTGTTTTCTTTTATTTTGCGGAATTTGTTTTTGCTTTATTTCTTGTTTCTTTTTTTTCGGTATTTCCTTATTTTTTTTCGTTTCTACTGAGGTATCAATAGTTTCTTCATTTGTATCGACAAATGTTTGTGAGATATCAGTAGATACTTCATTTAAATCGACAATTGTCTGTGTTATATCTAATAAACAAAAATATAATTAGTAAATTAAAAATAATCTTTAATTATAGTTAGTAATGTTTAAGTATAGTTGCTATAACCTTGATTATTGAAAGAAAGATTATCCTTTTCATTGTTCATAGTTACATCAGTTTCGTTAGAGGTTGTCGTATCCACACCTTGAGCTTTTTCTAAAATTTTTGACATTTCTAGTATATCAACTTTAGCAACAGGTTGTCTGTAAATTTCTTTGTGTATATGTTCATGATGACCCATAAAGTTTGCTACCCTTGTTACTTGATTATCTGATAAATTTAAATCCACACATTTTGTTGCGACATGTTTGCGCAAAGCAGTACCACGAAGGGAGGAAATATTTTTAGCTCCACATTCACTTGCAAAACCTCGCATTAGTTTACAAGCTCTTAAATGTTTATAGTGATCTTTGTTAACACTAGGTAATCCAAACACGAAAGGATTATTTGGTGGCACCTTAGCATTTGTCCGAAATTGTAATAAAAGTTGAATACTTTTGAACATTTGCGCATCTAATAGTACTGGAACTGTTCTATTTAATTTACCGCGAATAGTAAATCTAACATATTTATGAGTTGTGCCGGTTTGTGTAGAAAATTTACATATAGTGTTAGGTCCACAGGCGCATTCATGGTTTTTATAGTCATTAATTAAAATTCTTTCAGTTTCTCCGGCTCTACGACGATTAAATACTTGAATGGCTATGAGTGTTGCTTCAGCTAGTGCTTTACATACTTCATATGAAAATTCTTTTGATAATACTTTAATATTTTCGTGTATTTTTTTTTTCAAATAGTCACTTAAAATTTTAATATCACTTGTTCGAGGCAATACTATCTTTTTGTGCCGTTTTACTTTTGTTTGAGTTTCTATCACCACTTTATTTACAGTTCCACTAAAATCTACATCATAAATCTTCATAAAATCCTCAACATTTTTCCGTTTTATTAAATCATTGTCTACCATGTATGTAACATCTAAGATTTTACCGATCTTTTTTATACAAGTGCCGAGAGTAGATGCATTAGTTGGACGTTTATACATGTTTGTTTTGTAATCAAATTCTGCGATATCATTAATTGCCTCAATTACTGTTTTATAAAATTGTGGATCATATGCAGCAGCTATAGTATTAATTTCGGAGTTTCGATTTCTCAAAGCTAGTACGAAACGACCTAAAAGGCGTAAATGAGCTCGTATATAATTATTCTGATGTTGATGAACTTGGCTTTTGCACATATTATTTCCATATAAAATAATTGCACGGTCATATCTTATAGCTTTGGATATTTCATCTTCTTGTAAGACCGGTAATATTTCTACTCTCATTCTTCTGCTTGTTTCTGGATGATATCTGCCAAGAACCCTTCGAGCATTTTGTAAAATTTGTCGAGAGGAACTTGAACTTGAATTTTTATTGTCCTTACATTGTTGTACATGATGTCTTAAATTATTTTGCGCATAAAATCCATTACAATAAGGACAATTAACAAAATTTGTACCATTCCGTTTAGTCTCTTTTGTAGGTCTTCTAACAGTTATCAATTTCCCATGATTATAGTCCTTTGTTGCGTTGAAAATAAAGTTTCCTTTTTTTCTTATGCTTGCTATTTTGTGCCAACGTTCAGCACATCCTTTTGGTAAGTTTAAGAAATCTTTAACTTGATCTTCATCACAGTGTTTATTTTCCAAATGACGCGCTATTTTAGTTTGTAAAGTCTTGCAAAATACACAAAATTTTTTTTGTTATCACCTTTAGGACCATTTGACATTTCAGCAGTTAATTCCAAATCATTACATGCACTATTTCCAGGAACATTAAATTTTAATTGACTATATTCATCGCTTTCGGATGCACTGTTTGTTTCATTAATACTATTATTATTAATATCAGAATCATTTGCCGTTACTTCTGTATTATTAATTTCTGATGAACATTGAGTTTCATCAGTTGGGTTGTATTCACTGGTATTTTGAGTTTCACTCATTTTTAAACTCTTATTGCTATCATCTAAAATAAAAAATGTATATAAACAGTATATCTAAAAGTATATCTAAAATCGTGTAGCTAAACAATTTAGTATATAGGATGTCCTAAAATCATTTGGAAACGATTTCTCCTCTGTGAAAATGTCGAGGCACCAATAGTTTCCTAATTATAATTAATTAAGAAAGAAGGGTGTTTCGTAAATTATACTCTGTAGAGATAAAATGTTAATAAAATTAAGTTATTCAGTTAATTTCAAGTAGAGTTTATTTTAATAGAATTTTAAGGTTTAATTAAGAAAGCCCATGGCGACAAAAAATATAATCTTGTAAAAAAAGTAATGACACTTTCGCAGAGAAAAAATCTCCAAATGGCCTCAATAATCTGTCATCAAGAAGAGGAACTCTAGTTGTGAAACACACGATATATATGTAAATATATACTATATCAGATAAAACATATTCCAGTATCTTATTTTTAAAATAAATTAATAAATATAATTAATTTTTATAAATAAATATAAAATATCTAAAATCTTTATAAATTATTTTCTACCACTTACCACAGTTTGATAAATTTAAAAATGATGTAGATTTCTCATTAGATAATTTAAATTTCGAATATTTATTTCTTGTTGTAGATTTAAGTATTCTTTTTCGTTCCATCTCAATGTTTGTTGGTGTTGTTTTTAAGATAGCATATGATTTATTACATACAATATTTTCAGTAATTTTTGGCGTTATTTTCTTTGAATTACAATCATTAAAATGCGTACTGATTTTCTGATGTGTGTCTTTAGAATACAAAAAACAATTATTAAAAAATTTACACTAATATTTATACTAATCTAATATACAAAATATTTTAAAAAATAATTTACCTTTAATTTCTGCATGAATAATAGGAGAGCCAATATTAATCATGTTTTGATTTATATTCTCTTTATCTTGTAGATCAATTGATATTAATTCTTCATTGTTATGTATATGCATTGGCGAGTCTTTATTTTCAGTAACAACAAAATTGTTATTATTCATATAATTTCCATTTAAATTATTTTCAGTCAATTCATTATTTGCGTTGCTATGCGTTTGTTGATCAATATTAAAAAGTAACTCACACATATTTTCTGATATTGAAGATTCTTTATTTAAAATGAATATTAAACTTGAATCTATAATATCACTTATATTGCTAGATGTATTAGCTTTATCATTGCACTCATTCACTGTGCTTTCAGTGACATCTAAATTTACTTTTTCGCTGACATCTAAAGCAGTTTCTATTATTTCACTGACATCTAAAGTAGTTTTCACTCTTTCATTGATCTCTAAAGTAGTTTCTGTTCCTTCACTGACATCTAAAGCAGCTTTTATTCTTTCGCTGACATCTAAAGCAGTTTCTATTCTTTCGCTGACATCTAAATCAGTTTTCACTTTTTCATTGACCTCTAAAGTAGTTTCTGTTTCTTCACTAACATCTAAAGTAGCTTTTATTCTTTTGCTGACATCTAAAGCAGTTTCTATTCTTTCGCTGACATCTGTAGTAGTTTTCACACTTTCATTGACCTCTAAAGTAGTTTCTGTTCCTTCGCTAACATCTAAAATAGCTTTTATTTCTTCATTGACCTCTAAAGTAGTTTTTATTCCTTTGCTGATATCTAAAGTAGCTTTTATTTGTTCGCTGATATCTAAAGCAGTTTCTATTCTTTCGCTGACATCTAAAGTAGTTTTCACTCTTTCATTAACCTCTAAAGTAGTTTCTGTTTCTTCGCTAATATCTAAAGTAGCTTTTATTCTTTCACTGACATCTGAAGTAGTTTTCACACTTTCATTGACCTCTAAAGTAGTTTCTGTTCCTTCGTTAACATCTAAAGTAGCTTTTATTTTTTTATTGACCTCTAAAGTAGTTTTTATTCCTTTGCTGATATCTAAAGTAGCTTTTATTTGTTCGCTGACATCTAAAGCAGTTTCTGTTCTTTCGCTGACATCTAAAGTAGTTTTCATTCTTTCATTAACCTCTAAAGTAGTTTCTGTTTCTTTGCTGACATCTAAAGTAGTTTTCATTCTATCACTGACATTTAAAGTAGTTTTAATTTTTTTGCTGTTATCTAAAGTAGTCTGTATTCTTTCGCTGACATCTAAAGAAGTCTCCATTCTTTTGTCATCTAAAGTAATTTCTGGCTCACAATTGCTACTTGTAATAAAATTGTTATTATCCACATTAGCTAAACTTGTCTTCTCTTTATGTTTTGCAATGTCTACTAGTTTGATTGCTACATTTCGTATTTTAAAATTTTTTTCTGAAACTGATTGGCTTGGATGATCAATGTTTTTCTTATTTATAGGTCGCTGTTTAGTACCTTTATTTAAAAATAATATATTTATTTATAGTATAAAGTAAAGTAATATATGCATTAAAAGTATATTATACGTAATATAATAAAATTGAAGTAATTAGCAATTTTAAAGAAATATTTTTATAAAAGATTAAGGTGCATGAAAATATTATATCAAGTAATATATGAAAAACAAACTACTTTCTAATTTCATTAAAAAATCACTCTTCAAAATATTATGGAAATAATAAGCGTGATCTACAATACGTGGAGTAAGCCTGGCGTAAAGAGTAATAATATTTTCGAGGAGGTTATTTTCAGTTTAAAAAGCTGGATTAAGGACATAAGCGTAAGAGTAAAAGTAGGAGTAGTAAGAATACAATTAATTTATTTCGTTTACGCCGTTAATTCAACTTGTTTAAACCGAAAATAATCTTCTTATTTTTCTACTCTTACTCGATCCTTACGCCAACCTTACTTTTCACGTATTGTAGACCACGCTTTATTACAAGCAGAGAAAATAACGTAAATTATTACACGTCAGACGTAATTAATAAAATATTTTCTTACGTTTTGCTGGCATTTTTATTCTTTCGTAACACTCAGTAAGTTAAATTAACGGTTGTTCGTGATGGAATACATCAAGAACTTTAGTTGTTAAGACGAGCCGGGTTTTTCCCGCGGCGGGACCATAATAACGATATCGGTAGAAAGTAAAGCGAGTCATTTTCATGGATGCGCAGTAGATCAACCAATCACATTCGGCCCATTTCATGAAAATTCAATATGACTGATAGCAAGTCACAAAGGTAGTAAAAATTACATTTTTATATATATGTATATCGTATATATATATATATATATATATATACAGAATGTCTAGTAAGAATTGTATCAACGCTCGTGAGAGCGGAGAAAGGTATAGTAAACTGAAGAAAAAAGTTCTTTATTTTTTTTGAAAATTTTGTAATAATTATTGAGATATTAATTAAAAAGAATTGGCAAATTTTTGTTGTTAGCAGTTTTTATCAGTATCCTATATTTATATTCTCCAATAATTTATTTCCTCCAATTATTTACTTAATTTAAATATATTTATGTCTTGAAATAAATCAAAAGTATGAAAAGGGTGAAAATGTCCCGGAAACTACTATTCCGAATCTAATGTCCTGGAAACTGTTATGTCCTGGAATCTACTAATATATAAATTTCCTGGAAACTGCCATGTCCTGGAATCTACCAGTCTGTGAATGGCCTGGAAACTGCCATGTCCTGGAATCTACCAGTCTGTGAATGGCCTGGAAACTGCCATGTCCTGGAATCTACCAGTTTGTGAATGGCCTGGAAACTGCCATGTCCTGAATCTACCAGTCTGTGAATGGTCTGGAAACTGCCATGTCCTGGAATCTACCAGTCTGTGAATGTCCTGGAAACTGCCAAATTCGATTTTTCCTTAGAAAGGATAAAAATACATCTCTTTTATTTAAGTAGGAGTTATTAAATGGCAAGAGAAATATTTTAGAACCATTTTTATTTTCTGTACCGGAAACTGCCACTGGACATATATATATATATATATATATATATGTATGTATATATATATATGTATGTATGTATGTAGATTAGAATGTAAAATTTTTTTTTGTCCATATTCTAGCTAACAAGTTATATATATATATATATATATATAAATATATAATATATATGTATGTGTGTGTGTGTGTGTGTGTGTGTGTGTGTGTGTGCGTGCGTGCGTGCGTGCGTGCGTGCGTGCGTGCGTGCGTGCATGCGTGTGTGTGTGTGTGTGTGTGTGTGTGTGTGTGTGTGTGTGTGTGGAAACATCTATCTTTTATAATTGATTATAAAGTAAATAATTCTTTGTAATAAATAAATGATTTATATAAAATTTTATTTTTAGAGATTGAAGAGTATTTTTGAGATTGAATAGATAGTAACACTATTATTATCAAAACAGAGCAGTAGTTAGATGAGAATAAATCATATAAATTATTTATTTCTTACAAAAAATTATACACTAAAACTTTATAATCAATTATATTCATAAAAGATTTTTATATATTTTTAGATTATAAATTAAATTATTTTTATTTTGACAATGTAGATTATTTAAAAAAAATTATTATATACGTGTGCATGTATGAAAGAATGTAAAGTAGAAGAGAGAAAATAGACAGAGAGATAGAGACAGATAGATCGATAGATATTATAGATAAATAGATAGATAGACAGACATATAGATAGATAGATAGATAGGTAAATTGATAGATATTTCGATAGATAGAAGACAGATTGCTAAATAAATCGATATATGTATGGTATGTGTATATATACATATACAGGGTGTCCCAAAAAGATCGGAACACTGAAAAATCTCGAAAAGTATACGTTTTACAGAAAAAAGTTTCAGACAAAAGTTGTAAAAAATCTATTAATTGATCTTATTATTTTGACCTTGGATTGCGCTACCAAGATCAGAATAAGGTCACCTTGAATTTCTTAGATGAAATCCTATATTTTTTATTACATATTCTTGTAGCTTATCTAGAGAGCTTTCCAAAACACTAATAAAATTATTTTTCATTGAGTACTCTTTGAGTTACAAAGGCTAACAATTTTTTGACATATAATGTAAAATATCTTTGTAAAATATTCCATTTTTGGTAATCATATCTTTTTTTTGCACGAAATAATGAGACCAATGAATTGATGTAAAAAAACAATTGCTTATAAAAAAGTATGCTTGCTGCATATTGAATATTACATATCTTTTTAACAATTATCTTTTTTTTTTATTGATTTTATTATACTGCGCAAGAAAGTAGGTATGATTACCGAAAATGCAATATTTTACAAAGATATTTAACATTTTATGTCAAAAATTGTTAGATTCTTACCTTTATAACTCAAAGAGCACTAAATAAAAAATAATTTTATTATAGTGTTTTGGAAAGTTCTCGAGATAAGCTACAAGAATATGTAATAAAAAATATAGGATTCCATCTAAGAAATTCGAAGACATTATTCTGACTTTGGTAACGCCGTCCAAGGTCAAATTGATAAGATTAGTAAATAGATTTATTTCCCTACAACTTTTGTCTAAAACTTTTTTCTGTAAAACGTATACTTTTCGAGATTGTTCAGTGTTCCGATCTTTTTGGGGCACCCTGTATATATTTATATTAAAATATCGCAAAAAATTTATAGATGAAGAAAATATTGAAAATTTCAAAATCATCTTTACTTTTAGAATGAACTCAAGAATACAAAGTTTCACTGTGGACATCAGTTGCAGGACACCCTGTATATACATACATATATACATACATAATACATACATATATATATATATATATATATATATATATATATATATTGTATATATGTATATATAAATGTATGTATGTATAGGGTGTCCTGCAACTGATGTCCACAGTGAAACTTATATTTGTATTCTTGAGATCATTCTAAAAATAAACATGATTTTGAAATTTTCAAGATTTTCTCCATCTATAAATTTTTTGCGATATTCTAATGAATCTAATGATACCCCCCTTATTCTTATTCAACATTTATGGGGTTCAATTTTTATAAATTTTTTTTACATAAATAAATATATATACAAGGTATCTCATAATTCGCGAATCACCTTTCATGGGCAGATAGAGCGTGTTAAACTGAATAGAAAATTCATGTATTATTTTGCAATATTCGCAATAATTATTGAGTTATTTATTAAAATATCTAAACGAATAAGCAGGTAGAAAGCATTATTTGATTGAGAGGCGGCGTTATGCAGCGAGCGCCGACCAATGTAATGGCGCCGAAAAGTAAGATGATACTTTTGATACTAAGCGGCATATAACAAATAAGTCATCCGACATGCACACCGAGTCCGGCCTACTGCTTTCTACCCGCTCATTTGTTTAGATATTTTAGTTAATAACTCAATAATTATTGCGAATATCGCAAAATGATACGGGACTTTTCTATTCAGTTTAACACGCTCTATCTGCCCATAAAAGGTGATTCGCAAATTATGGGACACCCTGTATATATATATATATATATATATATATATATAATTTCGAAAAATAATGATTTCTAAAAAATAAAGCAGTCACTTGCTTATTTTAAATAGTTATTAGTAATAGAAAGACTATAGTAGTAATAAATAGTAGTTACAATAGTACAATAGTAGTAATAATAGTTATAAAGTTGCAGTAGTAACAAAAAAAGATATTTTATATCAGAGACGATAATATTTGCTTGCTAATTGTTTCTAAAATATCTTCTCCCAGAACGATTTGCATGTGCGTTCTGGTTATTAAAAAAAATATCAAGAGACACGGTAGTGTCTCGCGACCAGTTAAGGGCGTAGCGGAGACACCGTGTATCTTAACGCGAGTCGGACATTTGAGTCTTTATAATATTTCGAATCCTCAATAATGGCTGAAGCAATCGAGTTTATACTAGACTTAATCGATAGATTGAGTTCGAATTATATAATAAAAGTGTCTTTATTTCTGCTCTACATGATTTGTAAGCAGAGATATATAAATGCAAAGTCGAAATATGAAAAATTTCTATTAAGAAACGTCCCCGTCATCATTATTATCATCATTATCATCATTATCATCATCATTATCATCATCGACCACGCATACATAGTAGTATCGTGCTACACGTATTCACACGTATACAACACATGCGCACACATATATCACACGTACACAACACATGCAAGATGCATGTAGTGGTAATTTTGTCCATCTCGCACGTTTTACAACAGACGGCGTTAGTGGTGCTCCGCGATATTAGTAGCGTGCGGGGTTATGTAAAAAAAAAATAATAAATATTGACGTGCGGGGTATAAAATAAATATTGATACGTTATCATTTTAAACTATTTCTTTCATAAAAATAATTACTTTCTTGCTACACTACCATCCTACTATTCCTTTTTTTATAATTTATATACTTATGAAAGATGTAGTACAATGGTAGCGTTGCAGAAAATTATTATGAAAGAAATAGTATAAATAAAATGATAACGTAACATAATAATAAAAGTATTTAATAAATATCAAAAAGTTGCAAATATCATTATATAAATATATATTTATAAAAGAATATGTTTATGATATACTAAACATGTGATACTGCATATATGTAATTATATATTATATAAAAAAATATATCACATAATATACGAATACATCAGAATATTTAAAGTGTTCAAAGTGATGATAGCTCACATGATGTCAGATTTACCAAATGTTGACTTTGAACGAGATGTATATCAATTTATTGTAAGTAATGGTTCTCTAGCTTGTACATATTAATTAACTTAATTATTTCTTATTACTTCTATATATTGTTATATAAATATTATAATTTGTAGAAATCCTGCATTTCGATCAGATGGATTAAAAATGTATCCGACACTTGTCATACGTGGTTATTGAAAACTGGAAGATACAAAAGTTATGCACCGAGTGTATTGATCGATCTTATAGCTTGTATTCTGTCCTTAATACCACCGTGGACACGGGTTTATCGCGTACGTGATATACCTGTGCCATTAGTAAGGTAAATATAACAATATTAAATCATATGCATAATATATACATTTATGATAGATTATACATAATACATATATGTATATTTTTTAGTATATCAT